AAAAAAACAGACACTCTATAAAGCAGTGCTAGGCTCAGTTCAGCTCAGTGAACAAGGATGGAGTGATGGCTTGGCCACAGGCACAGAGCTGGTGCTAGGTTCAGGGACTCAGGGATATACAGGCAAAGAGGTCTCACTGCCCACTGATGTGTTTGGAGAGGTGGGTGGGTGAAAGGACTTTCCACTTGTCCTCCCAATTTACTCTCTGTGGCCTGTCCCTTCCCTGGGGTCCACCACTTTTCTGTCCTTTCCTTTTGAAATAGACTAATAAATGTGGCTACTTACATTTTACTTTACGTTCTAGGAGCAAATCCAGGGGGCCAGGAGCCCTGCACTCGGCTGGCTGCTTAGTCCCTGGCCCAGGCCCCAGGGCCTACCAGGCATCAGAGGGACCCCTGGGTCTGCTGCCCTGAGCTCAGAACACCCAATACTCTTTGGTGAGTGGGAAATTAAGGGTGGGGATAGCTCCTTGGCATCCTAGGTCTTTTCCTCCCCAAGAGACTTCTACTCTGCCCCAAAGGAACTCAGCCTCTGCGCTCTGTGGCTTCTGCTGGTGGAGACTGTGTGCTCTGGAGGGAGTAGGGTTCTTGGCTAGGAGTGGCAGTGGCGCTGGCTCTGGAGTGCCCCTAAATGTCAGCATGCAACATTATCAGGCAGGTCCTCCCACTTCATTCCTCAGGCCACTCATAGGACTTCCTGTCCCCTTGTAGAGGGGCTGACACCAGGCTGGAGCCTGCACTGAAGGGATCCCCGAACCCCTGCTTCTACAAGGCACCATAGGCAGGTGAGGGGCCAGGCACGTACACGACCCGCACCCTTTGCGCCTGGCTTCCCAAAGCTCTGCCGTGCCATGCCGGCTGGCACAGCACACAGCCATGCAGCAGGGTCCCCAGCCACCCCTCAATCCCTGAGAGAACACACAGAGTCCCCCGGCCTCCAGCTGCTCCGGAGGCGGCTCCAGGGTAGACTCAACAAGTTCCCGGGCCATGCAGCGCCGCCTGCAGCCCAGAAACCCGGAGGACGCGCTGTGGTGGAGCCCC